TTAACAAAATAGAAGACTTCTATAAAAATTAAGTTTTATAAAGGCAAAGTTTCAAAGAATAGGAAAGATTAAATAAAATTAAATATTAATTTATTAAAATTCCAATCATTATATATGAAGAGATCAATTAACAAAATTATCAATTAAATAGTAAATTTAGTGAAATCTGTCTATTATAAGATTATATTTAAATACTCCTTTATTTTTACTCATCTAGACTTATAAATGAAAGCATTCAAAGCAATTTTAAGAATAATAGTCGAAATGAATTTGGCTTTTTAAGTTAGTTTTTATTCAAAAGAATTTATAATACTAATTAAGGTCCATTTAGATAAATAATGAGATTGATAAATTAAAAATAACGATGAAAATAAGATTAATTATTATAATAATAAAATTAAAATTAATAATAAATATATATATTTGAATACAAATACAGTGGTAGCAGTTAAATCAATTATAATAAAAAAATTATCATTAAAGATATTAAATTAAAATATATATAATAAAAAATTTAAATTATTTAAAACGTTTATAAAAAAATATTTGAAATGAGGATTTGAATAAGCCTAATTTATGTAATTTTAAAAGCATTTTGATAATTGAATAATTGGTAAATAAGACTATTTGATAAATCGGAAGTGAAAATGATCTAATATAACAAGTTGAGATTCCAAAATGATAAAACGTTAATGGAAAGGTGAAATCATGAAAACGAAAAAAAAAAAAAACAAACCCTGAAAATATCTAAGTTTTCAAAGATTCAAAGAAGGGTAACTACTACTTCAAAGCTGCAGAAATTGAACCAGTTGCTGCAAAAACAATTTACTCTTTTTTTTTTTCTTTTTTATGTGTTTCTTTGATTGGATGAAAGAGATATTGAAATTCAAGATTTGTACGAGGAAGAAGATAGAAGAAAATGCAAAGAAACAAAGAAGGCAGATAGCAGATGGCAGATGGCAGAAGGCGACAACTCTATCGCCTGACAGTGAAGAAGACCTCTCAAGCTAAAACTATTGCTGCCAGTTGCCAGTAGATAAGCCAAATAAAAAGTCTATTCGAATGTTGTGTAGTTTTGGTAAGTGGCCTTTTCCCATTATTCGGTGTTCACACGGTGCATGAACAGTTATAATTTTACTCAAGGATTTCTGTTAGTTTCTTATTTATGATAGTACTCCTTGTCTCCCAGATTATTTGTCTTGCATTTATTTTTATGAAACTTCATAAAAAAATTTTAATTTTAATATCAAAAAATAAAAAAATTTTAAAATATAATTTTAAAATATAAAAAATATTTTAAATATTTTAAAAAATAAAATATGATTTTGAGACATTCTAAAAAAATGAACAAAAAAAATAGAGAAAGTAATTAATTAAATTGCTTGATAATAAATAATTTTTTTACTGTTTTTAAAAAATTTATTTTTTAATAATAAGTTAATATATATAAATTTTATATACATTATGAGTTTTAAATATATGAATATAATTTTAAAAAGAAACTAATTTATGTATATATATATTTCTAATAAATAAATAAAATTATTTCATGTATCATATGTGTTATAATTTAGTTAGATCTAATAATTCATAAAATCTTATCTCATTCAAAAGAAAAAGAGATCTTTAAATTTTTTTTAACTTCAAATCCAAACTTCATAAAGTGTGAATTTTCCCCAATAATAATATTGGATTTTTGCATGTTGATTTGATTTCTCTATAATTTTTTCTTTCTATTATTATAATTTTTACTTATATTGTTGTGCACGTAATTTTATAAAAATACATAAATATTCATAATACGTTATATTTATAATTATAATTTTTTTTATTACGGTACTGTAATTATTTCTTTAGTGTTGGAGTCCACATCTTTTGCCTTGCTTATTTGCAGCTATGATCGTGTCTACGTAGTTCACTTGGAAACCGCTACATATATATATATATAACAATAAATTAATTCAAAACTGATGGTTTGTTTCGATTTTTTTATATATAAAAATATTTGTTTCAATCTTAAAATCAAGAGAAAATGGTCATAGCAAGACAAAAAATTTTTTTATATAAATGAATTCGATTTTATTTGTTAACAAAATAGAAGACTTCTATAAAAATTAAGTTTTATAAAGGCAAAGTTTCAAAGAATAGGAAAGATTAAATAAAATTAAATATTAATTTATTAAAATTCCAATCATTATATATGAAGAGATCAATTAACAAAATTATCAATTAAATAGTAAATTTTGTGAAATCTGTCTATTGTAAGAATGTTGTTAAATACTCTTTTATTTTTTTTTACTCATCTAAACTTCATAAATGAAAGCATTCAAAGCAATTTTAAGAATAATAGTCTAAATCAATTTGTCTTTAAAAGAATTTATAATACTAATTAAGGTCCATTTAAATAAATGATGAAATTGATAGATTAAAAATAGCGATGAAAGTGAGATTAATTTACTTGTAGGAGAAGAATTGTGAGAGTAAATAGATTCTTAATAGGCAAGTTTATATAATTATAAATAAGAAAAATCATTATAGTGTTAGATATGAGAAAAATATATAAGAGAATTGTAGGGTTTTGTGGGATAGATACCACATAGGAGTATTATGATTTTACGTCTTATGGATGTGTATGTTTATTTGTGAGTAGACTAAAAAAGACTAAGAGAGTCTATATAAATATGATGTATTGGTACATATTGGTATGTGTTTGGTTGTGTTGAAATAGTGCATATGGATATATGTTTGTTTGGGTTGAAAATACTCCATAGGACTAGAGGAGATTGAGAGGGTCTATGGGTATTGATTGTTGAGTGGTTGAGTAAGAGTGATTTGATGTATGTTTATAATTCTCTACAATTAGTGAATCTTGTTTCTCATTCGTGGATGTAGGTTAATTGAACCAAATCACGTTAAATTATTATCTCTTGTATGATTGATTGATTGTTTTATTTCGCTTTATTGACATGATTGGATTGGAGGCTTTTTGCCCAATAAATGGTATCAAAGCTATGGTGATTTCCCAAACAAGTGATATCAGAACATGATTTGAGACATGTGAAGATGCAAGCTTAGAGGAAGACGATTCAAGAGAAGAGTTTGAGTTCATGTTTTTAGGATTGAAGATCGATTTGCATAAAAGCGTGAAGACACATAAGAGAAGAGAAGATGAGTGTGAGACTTCCATTGCAGGTGGAGCCAAGCATGTCTAGCATGAAAACAGATGATTGATGAAATTTGAGTCAAGGTGGAGATTGTTAGGAATAATGACTCAAATCCCATAAGAAATTTGTTTGGGATTTGTTAGAGATTTGTTTGGGATTGGCTAGATATTTCTTAATGGACAAGAAAACTTGTAAAAGAAGAATTCTACGAGAAAGATGATTTTTAATAGGTTAGTTTGACTTGTGAGAGAAGAATTCTAAGAGAAAATAGATTCTTAATAGGTAAGTTTGTATGGTTATAAATATGAGAAATCTCTATAGGGTTAGTTATGAGAAAAAGATATAAGAGAGTTGTAAGGTTTTGTGGGATAGATACCCCATAGGAGTATTAGGACTTTACGTCTTATAGGTATATATATTTATTTATAAGTGAACTAGAAAAGACTGAGAGAGTTTACTTAGGTATGATGTATGGGTATATATGGGTATATATTTGGTTGTGTTAAAATGGTACACATGGGTATATGTTTGTTTGGGTTGAAAATATTCTATAAGACTAGAAGAGATTGAGAATATTTATGAATATTGATTGTTAAGTGGTTGAGTGAGAGTGATTTGATGTATGTTTGTAATTCTCTATAACTAATGGATCTTGTTTCTCATCCGTGGATATAGGTTGATTGAATCGAACTATATTAAATTGTTGTTTCTTGTGTGATTGATTGATTGTTTGATTTCACTTCCGTTGACATGATTAGATTTGAGGCTTTTTGCCCAATAATTATTATAACAATAAAATTAAAATTAATAATAAGGATATGTATTTGAATACAAATACAGTGGTGGCTATTAAATCAATTGTAATAAAAAAATTATCATTAAAGATATTAAATTAAAAAATATATATATATAATAAAAATTTTAAATTATTTAAAATTTATAAAATTAATAAATAATTTAAAATTTTATAATAATTAAATTATTAAGTAATAAAAATTATTTATTCTATTAATTAAGAAATTATTTTATAATTTTTAAATATCAAATAAAAATAAAAATAATGTAAAACATTTTTTATATAATAATAAAACTTAAGGATAAAATTAACAAAAGAAAAAACCTTGACCGACCAGTCACCAACTGGATCAAAAATGATCAGTTGATGACTGACCACTTTTTCACCGCACCGTGCATCCATTTAGATGCAAGTTATAATTTGCACGTCCTTTGATTGTAATCTCACCGCCACCGAAAATGAGATGCCTCCAAATGAAGCCTTAGTTGGATCCCTTATAGCCGTATCACCTAAATCTAGATTTTATTAGTGAATGCATAAATGAAGAATATAAAAATCCATTTTATATTTTATTAAATAATAATTTTATTAATATAATAAATATATATAAATTAAATTAAATTAATAATAAAATATATACTTTTATAATCCGACGTTAAAATACTCAAGGCTTTAAGGTTTATCCTTTAATCATCTTTTTCAAAATCATGAGAAAAGCATGCAAATCACTTAAATTGTGCATGTGGATGGATCAACACATGGTGAGATGATGCAGATGTCGTCCCAAAAAGAGCATATAATTTTAAATTTAGAAAACTCTATCTCTTTTATTTTAATCATTTTCTTTTGCACATTTATTTTTAAAAATATCAATATAATTTATTTTTGTTTTTAAAATTAACAAGCTTTTGACTAGGAAGCTAATCACTTAGTTAATAAGTCTTTTACTCTTATCTTATTTACAGAGATTTGTTTCTCACATAGAAAGTTTATAGAAAATATTTGAAATGAAGGCTTGAATAAGCCTAATTTATATAATTTTGAAAGCATTTTGATAATTGAATAGTTGGTGAATGAGACTATTTGATAAATCCCCATTTTCATAAATGTCATACAGATAATAGATTGATTACAGAATGAGCTTTCGGATGGTTGTTAATTGGCAAACACATTGTATATTGAATTACTATCATACCCACTAACGTTGATGATGCTCCATCACTTCTAACAAGTTTAATTTCAGCTCAGACATTCCAATGGACAATTGATATGATTCAACATGTTTCCATCAATCTATTCCGTTGACTCTTCTTGATTTGATGCCTTTAATCTCATCACCTTCAGCTCTTCTGTAAGCACATGCATTGAATCTGAAACTTCAGCCTTGTAAACATAAAACTTGATTACTATCAAGAAGAAAAGGAAGTTCAAGAAGTTGAGTATTGCAAAAAATGCATAATAGTAGTCAAGGTGAGATTTATTTAGGTTATTCAAGATCCATCCTTGGTGACCATGCTTTCTGGTGATACGAGAAACTGTTGAAAGAAGGAAGCTGCTGAGAAAATTTCCGATTCCCAGGCTAGTAGTTGAATATGAAGTACCAAGACTCTTCATGCTTTCCGGAGCCTGATCATAGAAGAATTCAATCTTGGCCACCTCTAAAAATGAATCAGCTGTCCCCATTAGCACAAACTGGGGAAGTAAAATGAATATGGTTAGTGGAAGTTGCCCCCCATTTTCAACTAAACCATGTTCCCTGGCCACACTGAGTCTGTGCCTCTCAATAAAAGAAGCAGTTATCATGATTATGATGTGGAGAACAATACCAGTTCCCATCCTTTGAAGGAGAGTGATGCCTCTAGGATTTTTAGTCCACTTCTGCATAATTGGGACGAAGAAGCGATCATAGAGGACAACACAAACAAGCATAGAAATTGTCACAAATCCAGCTAAACTTGCTGGAGGGATCTTGAAGCTGCCTATGTGTCTATCAAGAGTGGTGCCTTGTTTTACAAAGAGGGTATGGATTTGAGCAACCATGGTGCTTGGCACAAAAGTGGCAATCAATATCGGGATCATTCTTAACATTTGTTTAGTTTCCTCTACTTGGGTTACCGAGCATAACATCCATGAATCCATGGAGCCTGTTTTTACAGCAGCCTTGTTCAGGAACCTACATTTATGAAAAAGTTGAACAAAAATGATCAGAAGATCACAAATTAAAATGACAAGAAAATTTCATATTCCTAAAAATAGCTAACAACAATCTACGCTAACCTCAAGGTTGGTGTTGAATCAATCCTGAACTTTCCTTTCCTAGAATACTCTTCCAAGTCAAGTTCATAAAGTTCTTTAGGGTCACTAGGAAGAGGCACATTCCATTTCCTTATGGCAGCTACTATGACCATAGCCATCCTTGTGAAAGGACTCCCTGCGGGCACCTTGTGCCTATACAAAGGCGTGCCTGCCAGGAAAATCAGAACCGAAATCACCAGCCCAATTGTGGGCAGCCCATATCCTAATGTCCACCCCACATTGTCCTGAATGTATACAAGAACTGTGTTGGCAAAGAGTGTTCCAAAGAAGATGCTGAACATCCACCAATTGAAGAAAGATAGCTTATGAGCCTTCTCCTTGGGATGGAAATCATCGAATTGATCGGCCCCGATAGTCGAAATGTTTGGCTTGGTGCCGCCGGTTCCTACAGCTAGAGTATAAAGTGCACCAAAAAATACTGCTAACTGTAATGTTGATGCCTCCTTGCAATTGTCTACGTTGGCTTGGTGACAAGTTGGTGGTTTTAGTCCAGGTAGCGACACAGATAATGTTAGCAATGACATTCCCTGTGATAAAAAATTGGGTCAATTAGTAACTTTTTGTCTCTCAATATTATTAATTTGTTTCTTTTTAAGGATAATTAAATTGTAACTTCTAAGCATATAAATTAGACTTGATGATTTAAAATACCACATGATGATACGACACGAAATGATATGAAAAATATATAAAAATACGGTTTAAAGTTTTAGCAAAAATTATAATGATTTGATAAAAAATAAATTATGTGTTTCATTTTTAGTGTATCGAAATTAATTGTGAAGGTAATTTTCGCGTTTTATAGATATTTTAGATGGGATAAATACAATATAAATATATGAATTGTCAAGTCTAATATTAATCTCTTCTATTTTTGTAAAAAATCATAAATTTGATGACCATAATTAATCACATTTCTTTACATTTTTCTTTCAAAATAAAAGAAAGTACTCAAGTTGATTTTTTATTTTTATATATGTTCAAAGAATTTAGTACATGTGATTTTTTAATAAGAAATTTAAAGATTATATTAGCAATGATCAATAACATAGTTCATCAGGGAGTGATCCTACCCATATCCTATGACTATGAATGGTACAAGAAAATCTTTCCATAAAATGATTCAGTTCACTTCTATCCAAATCCCATCCTACCCTTAACTAAATCATAATTTTAAAATCTTATTTTCAAATCTCATTCCTTCATACAATTAGGTGACTAACCAATTTGGAAAACATAAAATTTAATCATAATGTAAAAATTTGCAACAAGGTTTATATATATATATATATATATATATATATATAATAGATTGCAATATTAAGAATAGGAAAAAATTTGTAAATATTAAAATTTAAATATATCACATATTTTTTAAAGATCGTAGATGTTAAATTTAAATGTTAAACTTATTAAATACTATTTTTTAAAAATAATTATATAAATCAATTAAATTAAATTTCATATATCTATTGCCTTGAGCATATAAGTTTTAATGGTCTCAAGTTGTGGCATAAAAATCAGTGGTCCACTTGACAAATCTGTCAAAGTCTTCCAACCAATATAAACCATATATAAAGTCATCTTATATTGCCTTACACTTAAAACATATAAAAGAATTAGTCAAAGTTTCACATTCTGTCCATGTTTGAATGCAACCTTTTTTCTCGAAATTTGACTATAATTAGTCATTTTTAGCTACCATCCTTAGAGATTTCAAACCATTAACATCACATCAGCTTCATTTCATGTATAATACGTTAGCACCATATAAACCAATCATAATTTGATAGGCTTATTGATTAAACTCTAAAACAATGGGCTTGGTTTTACTATTTTATAAATAAATAATTAAAATAGTTACATTTAAGTGTTTGATTCAATAATTATATATATATTCATACATACGAAAAGATTTTTATTAAAATTATGGTATCATCATAATCAGTTATAGCAACATCATGTGTATAATAATAATATCTTAAAGATATATGTAGGTCCATTAATGTAACATCAATTTGACTAATTTTTTTCCAAGCAAAACTCGTTAATGTTTGACTACGAATAGTAATATAGATTTAAATGAGATGATCAGCAATAATAAACATACCGAGATATAAATTATAGAGGCAATGACAAATGTCCAGTAGCGACCAAGATGTGCATCTGCTATATAGGCACCCAAGATTGGGGTCACCCATATGGTGCCAACCCAATTGGTAACATTGTTGGCTGATTTGACAGTGCCCTGATGAAGCTTCCTCGACAAATAGAGGACAAGATTGGATGATATTCCATAGTAGGCCATGCGTTCAAAGACTTCATACACTGCACCAATGTAAAAAGAAAAAAAAAAAGTTTTCAAACTAAGCTGCTGCTGCCGCTGAATGTAAACTTTTTGGTAGTTTCCCACCAATGTGCTGATTGGTTTGGGTTGCTTTTATGGAGGTCCTTGATGCCAACGTGTATGGGGTCCATGAAATAATGCCAAAACAATTCTCAGTTTTGGAACTTGTCACTAATAATTGACTAGGAGCATATTTTTTTTTTAAGATTCAATTTTAGTCATTCAATTTATGATAATAATTTTAAAATAATTATTTAATTATTAAAATTTAAGTAAATATTTGTTATTTAATTGTTAGCCGATATACTAATATGATAATATTACAACAGATATTAAGTGTCAAGTGATAATATTATCTTTTAATATGTCACATGATTTTGTTAGCGTGACATTATAAATTTTAAAAAATAAACTAAAATAAAATTTTTTAATGTAGTAATATTATGTGATACTTGATAGGTAATGTGCCATTGTCACATTAGCATAACATTAGAGATTAACGGTTTGATTTAAAAAAAAAAAAAAAACACTTATACAAGATTGGTGACTAAATTGAAATTTTTAATAGTTTAGTAAACAATGATGAAATTTACCTTTTGTTAACTATTGAAAGATTCAGTTTCAGTCGTATATCTTTAGAAGCCTGAAACTTAATTATAAGTGGGATGCTTGAGTTCTTATTTTGTATTATGTTTATAAGAAGGAAATACAATGGAGCTGATCTGATCATGTTTAAAAAAAATGGTAGGACATGGCAGGCATGAAGCTCTCTGGACTATGGAGAGGGAAGGTGAGAAGGCTCTTAATGATGAGTCCAGTACAGAAGCTGGTGAAGGACTTAAAGATGGGGAGATGGGGTCATTTAATTCTGAAGGAGATAAATCTTTGTCAAATATATTAGTGGAAAAGGAAAACTGAAACCAAATCATCAATATCTTCAAAAGAAAAGCAAAAGTGGGTTGCAGGAAGCTTCTCTCTTTATTATTTGGTACTTGAACCAAGTCAATGCCTATCAAACTCTATAATCATGTTCACAAGCTAGACAACCCTCAAGTTTTAATGTTCAAACCAAGAGAACTAGATCATTTTGATCCTAAAGAAAACTCCAAAAAAACTACTACTTCCATAGCATAAAGTCTATTTAAGAAAAAATGATTGTCCTAAAGAAAAGATTTGATCAAGTCTTAATACTTCTTAAAAAAGACAGATAAAATTTATTAAAGTTCGTGAAATTCTTTAAATCGAAAATATAAATCAGTAGAACATTGAAAGGTTTTGAATTTTTTTAACTAAAATTTTTATTAAATCATCTGAAATTTCACGAACTTCACCGTAAAAAACTTGATCTAAATTATTCGTACCTCTTTTAGACTGAGAAGAGACAAGTGTGTGAAAGTTAATACAGGAAAAATGGTTTCATGTGACAAGAGGAAAAAGGGTTTGGTCCCATAACACAAGCACTTTAACTATTGTCTGAAGTGGAGGAGGAGGAGGAGAGAGATGAATGACAAAGTTTATAAGGCTTGATCTGTCCCTAAAGAGAGGGAATGAAGAGGGAGACACAAAACATAAATTAAGGGAAATTGAAGTTTACCAACAACAAAGGAGCAAGCAGTCCATCCACCTCTCTTGGATCTAAGGACTGGGTTTCCTTTGAGGTCCACGGTGCCATCTTGAGTGTAGTCATCCATCCCTTCTTCAACTGCCATTAAAGGACAACCTTACTTTTTTTGGGGGGAAGATATTCAGTCTTTTACACTTGCGAAGAGATAGTGTCCATCTATCCACTCCTTTTTATGGACCCTCAATTTGATTCCTCCAAGATCCTGCCAAAATTTCCACTAATTACCACTTTGCCATCATTCTTGTATTTTTTCTTTTTTTGTTGCTTTCAGCTTTGGCTTGGGTTATGAAAGCATTGTCATTTTCTTGGTTAAAATGAATATAGATGTAATATTACATCCAATTCCGTTTGAAACAAAAACAATTCTTCATGCGATCAGGTCGTGAAAATATTATCTACGTCTTCAACCAATATCTATACTACTGTTAAAATCTTTGATTGAATTGATATTTCGAGTCAGGTGACACCATCTCATGTTAGTGATTATTATTAAAGCAATTTGGTAACACTTTATATATATATATATATATATATAATGGTTCTAATTTGGGAATATGAGATGAAATTATATACGTCGAAATTTAAAATTTAAAATTATTAATTATTATCATGAATCAATTAAATTAAATGAAAAAGAGAAGATTTAATGATAGTTTTTAACATTAAAAAAATAAATAAATTGCTTCGACCCCTTATTTGCCATGTTAGGGATTACATTTTAGAATGAGCAACAAAAGTTTATCAATGCTCAAAACCCAGATATTTTATATCTTACAATTGAATTGAATAACCTAATTAACTAATTGGACAACCTCTCATTGGTTGGGGTGACAATTCTTAAGATTTATTTGGATATACAGTAACATTAATTTTGATGAGATTAAAAATAACAATGAAGGTGAAATATATAATTATAATAATAAGATTAAAATCAATAGTAAGATATATGTATGGACGCAAAAGCAACGATGATAATGAGATAAATTGTAGTGAGAAAAGAAAATAACCATTATGGATATTAGATTGAAAATTGTATAAATAATTTTATATCAAGTAATAATTTTATTAATAAATAATAATGAATCAAATAATATTTTTTATATTAAATTAATAAAATTATTTCACAATTTTTAAATAAAAATAAAAAAGGTAAAAAATAAAAATAAAAATATTGAGAATAAAATTTTTTTTAAATAATTAGAAAAAGACCAATTGACTGCTAGACCAAGCCAATGATCAATTGGCCTTAATTGAACTGATCGATTATATCCAATATATATATATATATATATATATATATATTATTTCCTTTGACAATAATCTCTTAGTAACTGTTAGAGATGGTAATAGATTGGGTTGAGATGAATTTTTATTCGTTTCGAATCTAATCCGATTTTATATTTATAATACTCGAACTCAACCCGATAATTTTTTTTTTATTTTTTTACACTTGAATTTGACCCAATATTATATAAATTGTATTTGACTTAAATTGATTTGAAATTAATAAAATATTATTTTTAAATATAAAATATAAAATTAAATAAATGTATAAATATACAAATATAAAATTAAATAAATAATTAAAAAATAATATTATATATATATTGAATCGAGTTTACCTAAAACCCAACTCCGACCTAACCTTGACCTTTTTTTTATTATTATCGAATCCGACTCAACCCAAAATCTATTTTTTTTGAAAAAAAAAAACTAACCTTCAAATGTCAGGTTGAGTTGAAATTCACTCGGAACAAATTGAGCAGCCATCCCTAATAACCGTGTATTATTGGTGCTTCAGTGTGCTTCCAAAGGGCGCCTTATTGTCTTTATGTCTCTTTGTAATATGTGTGAGTTGTATCATAACTCTAATTTATGAAGCTCATGAAACCATATAGCAAAATTATTGAGATAACTTATCAACCATTGAGACTAATTTGGATCGATGCAAAGGGAAAACCTAAGGGGAAGATTGTGACTATATATCAATTTTCAAGCTTGGCTATGTTTCATCTAAACTCTAATGTCTTCCTTTGGTTGTCGTTTCATTTTCTAATTATTAGGGTTTATAATCTTATTTAAATTTTTTATTTAAAAAAATGTTGTAAGGTAAAATATTTTTAGCTTACCAAGTATATGAAAAAGAAAGTTTTAGCAAGTTAAAGAGAACTTAAATTACACTAAGATGGAAGCATATTTTACCTATAATTCTTTTTACTATAATATACAATTATTTAATCATAATTAAAAATTATGTATTAATTCATCACTTATAAGTATGAGTTCTATATAAAATCTTGATGAGCCACATATAATTTTAAATTAGAATTGATTAATTATACTATAATTATTGTAAATGATATATTCTCGTCCAAATAGATTAATTTAGTTGATAAAAAGAAGAGTCTCCTTCGTTTTATCAAAGTCCAACCTTTGTGGAAAGCATTTTCAAAATAAAATTCTAAAATCAGTAGATAGACATAAGAAGTGCACTCCAAAGATTATCCGAAAAAATTATTAAATACATGAAAAGTCCGAGATACCTTAATTTAAAATGGGTCAAGACTTGTTTCTCGAGGAGCATTTTTGGATAAAATATTTTTTATCTATTATGAAATAACATTTAAATTTATTATTTTACTTAAAATAATAGATCAATTTTATTATTAATTTTTTTAATGTGTAAATTTTAACATAGTACTTTTAATTTGATTAAGAAATATTAAAAATTTAATATTTTCTCACAAAATAAAATAATATTTTATAAAGTAATTTAATTTTGATCATTTTAAAATCAAATTAAAAAGTATAATTATTTTCAAAGATTAGTAGTAAATTTGGTCTATCATCATAGCTAGTAAATTTAAACTTAATCCAATTATAAATATATCATTTTATTCGAAAAATTTTTCTAAATCGAAAATAAAATTTGACTCTAAATTAAACCTAATTGAAAATTTTTATTTTTTAAATTAATTTTTGATTTAATTTAATTTTTATTTTTTCAATTTTTTGGGTTTAATTTTACTTTTTTAACTCAAAAAAATATAAGTAAAAAAAAAGGAAAGTTTCAATGAAATCCGCTGAAAATGATTTTGAGAGATTTTGGAAGATTTAATTTCAAAATCAATTCCTATTAAAATCAAATTAAATCGAATCACATTCAACACAAATTAGTTGATTGATTTGCCTAATTTAAAGGGGATTAAATCCCTGTAAAGAACCAACCATTAAACAGACAAGAAGGGTGGAAAATTTTTTCTAACAGTCAGCCTCACATATTGCTTCCAACATCCAACTTAGATAAAAGAATTCAGAAGTAATTCAGCAATAGGCAATTTGCAACCTTAGTCACGCAAGCCAGAGGAAGGACCAGAAAGCACCGAAAAGTAACAAACCCGAAGTCAGCATGCACAGTTTCAATAACCATTGAGCGAGTAACAACTCAGAAGCAGTACCCAAAATTAGAAGCAGAGATCACAATCAAAAACAGAATCACGCACACATCAACCAAGCAAAGCAAAAAATCCATACCCAGTCAATCTAAACCCATACCCACAATTTACAACATCAAGCAATCAAGAACAAAGGCAAGCAATTTTCAGCAAGCAATCATCCCAGTTCTCAAAAGCAATTTATAGAAACATAATTCCAGAAACTGAACCCCAACCACAAACAGAAACTTCACAAACCTAAACCCATTTTTGTAGTGGGGTTTCGATTGGTGAAAAAGGGGGTTGAAAGATTTGAAGGAAGCTTCTGGCACCGGTGGCAACTTGTGGCGATGCACGGCCAATTGGTGACTGGAAACAGTGGTGACGTGCGGCAGCTTGGTAACAGCGAAGGGCGGTAGCAGTTCTTATCTTTTTCTGGCGGTTTTCAACAAAATTCTGGGTTTGCTATGCACTCTCTTTTTTTTTTTTGGATTGAATTTCCAGGAAAAAGAGGAAAGAAAGTCTGTTGAGAGAGAAGCAGAGAACGAAGGAAATAACAGATTTTTGAAGCTTTTATTGGATGCTGAAACGGTACCGTTTTGGTGCTAAGGTAGAAGAAGATCCGTTGACCCAGGATCTTGACCCGACCCGATCAGATTTGTTATGTACTATTTTTTTCTTTTATTTAATTTTTACATATTTTTATTATTTATTTATCTATTTATTTTATGATTATGATTATTATTATTATTATTATTGTCATGATTTTTATATCTTTAATTTATTTGCTTGTAATATTTATTTGCATGATTAATTATTCATATTATTACATTATAATTCATATTATTTGTATAATTAATATATTATAGTATTACATGATATATTATATTATTGTATGATATTTATATTATTTACAAGATAAATTTTGTAGCGTAAGTTTTGTCTATTTTAATTTTTTTTTTCTTTCAAGGTTTTTTTTTTAAAATAGATTTTTTTTAAAAAAAATTTTTTACGAAGCTATTAAAGAATTTACATATGAAATTAAATCTTACTAACTATTGGAAGGTTTAATAAATTTTTTATAAATAAATTTCACACAAAAATTTCATTAAACTATCGGAAGATCTATATTAAAGTAAATTTTATTAAACTATTATCAGATTTTATTAATTATTTTTTTGAATAAAATATATTAATGAATTCGACAATAGAGCTTCTTTAGAGTGAAACACTAGTCTCTATGAATATTCTTTAAGTGAGTGAATTATCTTAAATTGCTATCAAATTATTAGAATAATTTTAAGATTAATTTTAATGTTATATTTTTTTGAGAAATTATAAATATGATTAAGACTTGGATAATTTGAAATTAAACTGGTATTATCTTTTGGATGGACGCTGTGAAGGTGCTATAACTTTCTTAACGTGTAACTGTATTCTTGAACTTAAAATCTAGTTTTGTGATCAGAATATATTATTTAAAAATACCTAAGTCAATCCTAAAATTTTTTTTTTAAATAAGACTGATTTAGTTAGGTAATCAATCGTACATAAACAAAAAAATTGATGATAATTTTTTTTAATTTATATTTAGTGGTAAATTTACAAATTTATATGTTAGAACAATAATTTGTATTGATAACGGAGTTTGAAATTTTGTAATGTCAATTTTAATAGGAGAAAAATACTTTTTTTGAAGTTCAAACTTTTTATACTATCTATCAATGTGAGTTTCCAACAATTTTTTTAGACTAATTAAAAATATTCAGACCTTACTTTTATTTTTATATATATCTATATCTATATTATATACTATAATTAATTTCAATCTTTAAATATTATTTTTATATACTATAATTAATTTTATCAAAAGATAAATTTCTGAAGTGTTAAAACCTTGGGAAGAGTTAGAAGACAATGCCACCATGTCCACGATCCGCGTAGAAACTACTGCTGCGTACTTCAGAAACTTCCCCTATCTATTTTTTCCAAGAACAGAATCCGAAAATGGATGACCGCAAAACCAAAGCCAACATCACCTGACGATTCCAAACCTTGAAGCAAAAATCAGGCAAAACCCACAATCAAATAAGCAGAGGAAACCGGTTTGGTTTAACCAATGTCTATGTAGCTCAGCTCCTAAAACGCCAGGCTCAGGTCAAGCCCGAAACCGCCCCTAAGCTACGGGCAGCTTTGCCTGACGACCTAACCTCCCTGAGGAGCATCTCCATGAGATAATGAAGCCACCCTTGAGGTCCTATGATCCTAACCTTATCCAAGAACCAACTGTTTACAGGTTCTTCTTCTTACATAATTCATATAAAATATGAACAAGGAGGATTTTTTTTTTAATAACCAAGTTTTTTATTTTTTTTGCCCGTTGAATGAGGGAGTTATGCATTTTGGTGACGGCATAAAGGAGATTATCAATGAAGAGTTTGGTGATGGGATGTAAGCTTTTTTAAGCGATTCCTTTAGGGCAAGTTAGTGCAATTCCATTTCTTTTGTTTGTTTGGATTTGAGCTAATTTTGAGTAGAAGGAATAGTTAGCCTTTGGATCTCGTATCGAATTTGAATTTAGAAATAGAAGCTGATTTCTAATTGTTTTCTTCATTTCCTGAGTGAACAAATATTTAAAGTTATAACTTTTTTTTGTCTTTGGTTACTAGAATTAGGGTTGCTTGATTATTAATTATAACAGGAATTAAGTCAGCAGAAAGAATTACATGTAAAATTGGCCTATTAGTTGGAACAATGAATGATTCAGCAGAAAGAATATGGGATTCGTTTTGGTTTTTTCTTTTTTTTGGTTTAGATATACTTGTAAGTGATAGAAAATCGGGTTGAGTTTCAAGCATGGAAATGCTTAAATAAGTTGTGACAAAGTGATTTGAATCTTCATATATCAATTCACTGATTCACTCATTTTTGGTTTTTACTTAGTTCATGAGTAAAACATAACTGATCTCCCCATTGTTTCTAGTTGATATGGAATTACACACATGAAAGGCTCTCAGACAACAACACCACACATTGGATCCTACTTTGGCTTTTATAGTTAATCCTGAAAATTTTTCCTATTAAAGCTCAGTAGTTTAAACTTTTGTCAATGGCCAATTCAGGATTTTTTCTCAAAATGTCCATTTATTAGAGTGGGTGTCTGCTGGGAGCTCGGTGTTTAACTGGCTGTGGGTTGTGATTTGGTATTGAACATAAGTAGCGAATGAAGCGACTAGGAAATTAAGAAAGATATATTCAGTGAAAAATTTTTGTACGTCCAATAGAAAATTGTGAAGGTGTTAACTGAAAATTTTTTCTTCAAATTTTCTTGTTTTTTAAACTTTAGGAGTGTCCATGGACACCCTACTGTAACATTTGCATCCGCCATTGACTTTACCTTGATACTGAGAAACTTCATTAAGAAAGGGATTTAACTTGTCTGATACATAACCCTTCATGCATGTGAACTGACAAGCACAAGCTTCAAATTCCTTTCTAATGGCAGAAATCAGAGCATATGGTTTCCAGACTACGGCTGCAAAGGAGCTATTGAACAGTCAGATGATGCTGCGAACCCGTTTAATATCTTCTTTTACAGCTTTTCTTTTTCTTTTGAAAATGTACTTTTAAGTGATTGAATCAAACTCAACTTTGGTGTAAGAAATTGGTCACTGGTTGAATTGGATGTTGCATGGCTTATCACTCTTATAAAACTCAAGCATAGCAGTTTAGCTATGGTGGTTTTGCATTTCACTGTCTTAGAATATCAAAGCTTGTTCTGAATGGATATTCAACTAAAAAATACCAAAAGAAACATACCAATTCACAAGCTTTACTGATCCATTTTCACTGAATATATGTTTAAATATTTACAAAAATTACCAGAAAATTGCACTACCAAACAATACTATCCACAGGCCGGACTATTCACTTGGCTCAGGAACCAGGTTTAGGTTTGAATTTTGAAGCTCGTGCCGAATCATTAGTTAATGAACGAAAAATTATTTTTATTTAAGTTTAATTCTAAAAATTTATAAAATATTAACATATAAATAATTTCTAATATTTTAAATATTTTTTAAAACAATAATCGAACTTGTTTGATTTGATTAGGCATATGATTTGTTTAAAGATTGAGTTATTTATGCAAATTTAAAAATTCGTTCAAGTGAATTTGAGAAAAAGAATTATAATTTATTAAATGGATTTTGACATAAGTTTTGGCTCGTTTAAATTTTAAATGAAGTTTTAAATAAAAAAATTAAAGTCTAAATTCAATCTAATTGAATAAAATATATATAATTAAAACATTATAATAATATAAATATAAACACGTAAAATTTTATTTTTATATTTTATTTTTTAAAAATAAAATTTTTATTTTTATTATATAAATTAAATTTAATGAATGTATTTTTTAAATTTGAATCAAATTTTAAAAATTTTAAAAATTAAAATTAAATAAATATATAAATTATTAATATAATATATATATATAAATTCGATATGACCTATTATCATACCTAAATTCGACATGAATACGTCTAAATTCAAGTAATATCTTTTCTGCATTTGACAAAAAGTTTCTATGGTTGGGCCTAATTCAAAGCCCAAAATATGTAGAGAGAGAAAATATCTCAACATAAATTCCTCCCTTATCCCCAACTTGTCAAAACCCTATCTCAAACAAAAACCCTCGCACTCTCTTCACTGTCATCTCAATCGCTCAAAATGGCACAAACCCTAGCACGTGCCGCCACCTCCACCGTCACGCGCCACCTCGCTATCTCCGTCCTCCTCCCGAAACGCCTGTTCTCAAACGCCTCCATCACCCGTCCTCCTCCTGTCCCGTCGCTCCTCTTCTCCCGTCGCCCTCTTACTCCTCTTTCTCACGCCGTCCGATCTCTACCTGTCGTTCCCACGCGCTTCACCTCCATCCGATGCCGCGTCAACCGGTCTGGAAACTCTGCTTATTCCCCGCTGAATTCGGGGTCAAACTTCAGTGACCGGCCACCTACCGAAATGGCCCCGCTTTTTCCTGGGTGTGATTATGAGCATTGGCTCATTGTTATGGACAAGCCCGGTGGAGAAGGAGCTACTAAGCAGGAAATGATTGATTGCTATATTCAAACCCTTGCTAAAGTCGTTGGCAGGTATTTTTCAATCTTTTGGTGGATTTTTGGGTCTTTGGATGCTGAGAAAGTGTGGGAAAATGAGAGGAAAATGATGTGTTAAGTTTGGGAACGAAGATGATATCTTGGGTTTTTGAGTTGGTTATTTTTCTGGGTTTGTCTTTATTTTCTTAAAGATTGATTCTTTAGTAGGATTGATCGTGTAAAATAATTTCATTTCTGGATTTGGGCGTACATAATTTTGACTTAGTTTATTTTTTAAAGATTATCGTGATTTATTTATTTGTTATTACTCTGTGTTAGTGAGGAAGAAGCTAAGAAGAAGATCTACAACGTTTCCTGTGAGAGGTACTTTGGATTTGGCTGCGAGATTGATGAGGAGACCTCAAATAAACTAGAAGGTCCTGCTTTTGGTTCTCCTTGAGTTGGTGGATTGATTTTTTTTTTTCTTTTCCTAATGGAAGTTTTTGTTCTATAATAAATAAAGTTTTTTCTGTTATTGTTAACAGGATTGCCTGGTGTTCTCTTTGTGCTCCCGGATTCTTATGTTGACCCCGAAAACAAGGACTATGGGGGTAAGCCTTTCAGGAATGAATTAGTATTGCGAAAACTTTTGCTAGTTTTTGCATAAAATGCTGATTAACTGAGGACATGTGCATCCATTCTGACATTTTCTCTTCAATTATTCTTCCTTCTGAGGTCTTATGACAATGTCTATTGGTCTTATATGTTTATATGCTTCTTCTCTTGTGTTATGGTTAACTGCTGTTAACATGTTTGCTTTTCTTATTTTGACTATGCAATTGCATTTGCATAATTTGTTTTGCTTGTATGTTGTTTCTTAAGATCTGAAAACTGCAATCAGTAGATATGTTAGTTAAATTATGCATGGGAATATTCTATTTATTTTAATTGACCTCAGTGAGGTACTTAACATGCAATAATATCTAGCAAGAGTGTAACAGGGAATGCCAGGTTCCATTTTCTATGGTACATGCTAGTCCATCTTGGCAAAGTTCAAAAGCCATGTAGGCAATGTTTAGTTTTGAATGCTAATGGACTTAGATTAAATGTGTCTCTCTCACGGCTTTGTGCATCTTTTTCTACATGAAGCTCAGATTATTGGGGGGGGGGGAAGGGGAGACATTAGTATATGGCTTGCACCATCAAAAGTGAACGAAGTTCTTCTTTAAGTATTTTAGTAGTTTAGCTAGGCATTTAGTCCATCTTGGCGAAGCTAAAAGGTCTTATAGTCAATGTTTAGTTTTGAATAGCTTCAAGGCTCTCTGTTCTCATCCTACATGGAGCTTAGCTCAGTGGAGATGAAACATTAGTTTATGGTTCGCACAAATAGCTTAGGGTGGTCTCCTTCTTTGGCCAATAATCAAGCATTTGTCTCACATCTCTTATCTTTAATTTCTTTTTCCATTTTTATGTTTTCTTTGGGTCTCTGTGCGAAAGTTTCCAGATTTTTTCTGTTCAATAGTCATGGCTACATTATTGATGGGAGTAGCATTGTGTGATAAGAACGCCAGTCATGAAACTGTGGCATTATAGACTAATGAAATACTATCAGTTAGATATGTAGCAGCAATAGTAACTTTTACCACTGGATTCATTCTTTTCAGAACATATTATCACTCCATCTTGGCAAAGCTAAAAAATCTAATTGGTAATGTTTAGCTTCAAATGCTAACAAACTTAGATCAGGTTTCTGTGTTACTGGATCTGTACTTCTGATGCTTTATGTAGCTGCAGCTTTGAGAAGATGAAACTTAATAGATGGGATATTTGTATATACTTATATAGGCTTACTCAAACATGAAATGAGTCAATCTCTGCATGTCATGTGCATAGTTGTTATTTATCAACAAGATGAAGTGAATATTTTGCGTTGGAAGTTTGGAACATAAATGATCTATTTAAGAGCTTGTAAACCCTTTAGCTCAGTCCATCTTGGCAAAGCTACTAGCCTTGAGTCGGCAATGTGTAGCTTTGAATGCTAATGGACTCATATTGAAGTCCTCTCCGTACTCTTCTGTGCTAAATTTTTGGAGTTGCAGAGTAATTGGAGATGATACATAAAATTTGCTTTTGCGTAATTCTTTCACTTTTGATTATTTTTGTTACTCAGCCCGTTTGTGGTTGTTTATAGAAATGAATAGCCCAAGAGGATTCAAACTACAACCTAATTTGATTCTCTTATTTGGTTTTTCATACAACCGACTCCAAAATATGGGATATAAGGCTTAGTGTGTTGTTGTAGTCAATTTTTGGTTCTCAGAAGGGAAATAAATGATGCACAAATTTCTAATCTATAGTACATTTTAAGTTTAATCTCCTGATTACCAAAAAAACACAAAGATAGTCTTCTGCATTCGTTATTGTCTTGTTCCATATTTCGAATTTTGGTTCATTTTGCTTCACATTGTACGCTAGTCTCATAGGTCTAGGGTTTATATTGGGTTTCTTTTGCAAAGTTTAAAAATGAGAAGTTTTCCTGCTCTTGTTCTGTTCCCATCAAAGATGGATTGTATTTGACATTTGCATCTCTCACTTTGCAGCTGAATTGTTTGTTAATGGCGAGATTGTTCAAAGGTCACCTGAAAGACAAAGGAGGGTGGAACCACAGCCCCAGAGAGCCCAAGACAGACCAAGGTACAACGACAGGACTCGATATGTGCGTCGCAGAGAGAACATGCGGTGAAACATTTGATTACAAAAAAAAAAAAAAAATGGATGTATAGAAATCTTGGAAGCAGTGAGCCTTCTTATGTGTTCGTGGACATATGGAAGCATTATTATGGTTATATGGATATGGCTTTTGATGTTTTCATGTAGTTCTTTTTCTGAACTTGGATGTTCTGTACTAAGGGTCTCGACCAAAAATTGTTGTACGAACTATGATAAAGTCATGCATTGCTCTGTGTAGAACCGAAGTCCCTTTGATTATTTTCCTTCTTATTTGCCATGTTTCACTAACACGAGCGATGACGAAGGTAGCCTGTCATTGTCTTGATACAATTAGTTTAAACTTTTTCCAAGCAAGATGAAAGAAAAAGGGTAAATTGGTGACATATGCGGGGAAAAAAAAATAAAAACGATATAATTTAAAATTTTAATAAAATAATATATTAGTAAAATGAAAAATGTGAATTGTTTAATAAATATAAATTGTGGTATAATAATTTTTATATTTTATATATTAATCAAATAATAAAATGTATTTAAATTAGATTAAATTTTAAAATTTTATTTTTATATTTAAAACAAGATATTATTTAATAAAATATTTAAATATTAATTAATTATGTTAAAAATTTTAACTTATAAATAAAATGATTTATTTAATATATTTAGTTTTATAGTTAAGTTTTATTATTTTTTATTAAAATTTTAATTAATTTGGATAATTTGTTTTTCAAAATGAATTAATTAAAAACAAAAATTTTTATAAAATCATTTTGAATAATTGATTGAAATTAATTTATTGATTATTAATTAATCAAATTAAATTGATTCGATCTATTAATTTAATTAAAATTAAATTTCAAACACCCTTATAAAAAAAACAATTAAACAATAATAGCAGCAGTAATACTTTTTTCCTCATTATTCTTACACATGAATTTGGAAAAATAAAAATTATTCTAATCTTCAATAAAAATAATTTCATTTTTTTGGAAGGGTTAACCATGAGCTGGGCTTGGTATGTTCGGCTCGTACTTTCTTTTATCAACAAATAAAACAAAAATCTATTAAAGATTAAAAAAAAAAATGAAAAAAGTGAACAAAATCATCGTCCAGACATTATTTTCTTTTACTAGCCAAAAACAAACAGATAAACAAAACTGAAAGACAGACAAAGCAACAATGGCAATGTTGGCTACTTTGGGAAGTCCTTCAGTCCTTAGATTTCACAAACCAGAGCGTCTAAAGACAAGGCCATCTTCACAACTTCTGAGTTTTGTTACTTCTCAACTTAGTGGCATCAAAATCTCCTACAATCTTCCTGACGTGGCATTTGTAAAACCCATATCCTCACCTTTCACTCCTGCTTTCCAGCCTGTTGCTCGTAAATCATTTATCTATATTTTTATTTCAGTTTTTATAATTGAATTTCTGGTTTGGTTTCAATTTTGCGCTTTCCTTTTTGTTTTTGTTCCATTATGTGAAATTTCATTTGCAAGTCAACAATTTTGAAGTGCAAGTGGGTGTTTTTAAGAGTGTGGTAGTGAAAATTTTCAAAAATAATATCTGGGTTTGTTGACTTGAATGCAAAGTTCAAATGAAAATGTGAACTTGATTGGTTTAAGTTGCATTTTGGACAAATATATAGAAGATATAAATACCAGCTAAAATCTTTGAATTGTTTGAATTTGACAATTTTTTATTGTTAACCTCTTTTCATTACACAGCATGCTAATTCTAAACTGGAATCCGTTATCAATTAGAGTTTATGAAAGTTAAAATACCTGTGTTTTTGTCTGTTTTAGTATAGTGACCTTTTCATATGAGCTTTTGAGGAGGGAACTTTGCCTTTTGTTGGCTTTTATGTACAATTTATGGAAGAATTTTGGTTATATTTGGTGGGAAATGGATAGAATTGAGTGTTGGTGATTGGTTAAGTGTTCCAGACTAAAGGATAGAACGTTGATCATGACTTTCTCTGTGGAGGATTTTAGAGCTGAAGATAGAATGTTAATATCAACAGTGTTGGTTGAGTCAGTAAGGTTCAAATACTTCACTTGTAAGGCCTAGATTCAAGTCCCACAGCCAGCTGTTTCTTTGGTGGGCAATCTATAAATCCAATGTAAATCTTCTCTGAGATTTGCGGTCTGCTTTAGACCTAGAATGGGGAAGCCTTCCATTATCCTAAACTTTTATTTACCAGAAAACAGAAGATAGAATGTTAATGAAGATGACAATGTGATGGCCATTTCAGTTGGCTTTAGTGATGAGGATATTGCCTTTTTTTGAAAGAATGGAAAGAGGGGGGGGGGGGGGGGGGTGAGTAAACATATGTCTATCCTCAAAACATGTTATTGATTTTAATTAGAGCCATTTAATTGATTGGGGACTATGAATCAGGATTCATATCTTGATCAATCTTTTCAGGCAGAGTATGTCCTTTCACTGGAAAGAGGGCAAACAAAGCTAACAAAGTTTCCTTCTCAAACCACAAGACAAAAAAATTACAGTTTGTCAACCTCCAATACAAGAAGGTTTGGTGGGAAGCTGGTAAGCGCTACGTAAAACTGCGTTTGTCAACAAAGGCATTGAAGACCATAGAGAAGAATGGACTCGATACTGTTGCTAAGAAGGCCGGGATAGATCTTCGCAAGGAATGATAAGGTACCAAATCTTTGGATTCCTGTTGTATTTGGAAAACTATTTTCAAGAAAACAAAATTGTTCAATTTCCTTTTCCTATGTAACTCTTTGTAGCCAGATATGTTGAATCCTTTTATTAGAACGAGAATATCATGATTCCGACTAGTAGCTGTATTTGTGAGAAAAAAAGCAGAAGTTAGTTTGAGTTGGTGAAAGTTTTAGATCCTTCTGGCTTCTGCATTCATCTTGCAGTAAGTTGGGCAATAGAAGTGCTCAACTATCATGTCATGTGCATCAAACAGGAATTTGTGTTACTTTTCTTCATTGCTTGGAGGATGAAGCATAAATTGAAATAATTGCATGGTTGAAATTTCAGTTGCAAAAATCCATATCATATGATGATGATTACAAATTGCGATTCAGATAATTGAGAGATGTCATCACCTTCAAACAGCATCTATGCAGGTGCATTCATCTTTGTATGTAATCAACGAAAAGAGGGAAACATTTTTCTTTCTTCCTTTACAATTGATCCAATATAACCTAGAATCTAGTTTCTGTTGATTCAACTGAGAAAAAAGAAAAAAGATCTTATGTTCCTTCTTCTGATCCTCACTCCAGCAATTAGTATACAGTCACCAGATCTGCACCTGCATGAGAAGTGAAGGAATAATGAATCCTAGCCGATAAGCTCACAGAAGATGACATGATTGTAATAGAAGAATAACTAATCATGAAGAAAAGCATGGTTCATCTCTTATCATTCAAGAAGCAGTCTGCTGTTTCAGGATCAAGTCATCTGCTGAGTAACGATCGGGATCAAGTTCTAGCAGCAGGTGCTAGTGTCATGGGTCAAGACTTAAGTTTCGACTCGCACGGTTTCGGGATCCAGGCATTCACCCTTCTGATGTCTTAGATCAGTCTGACCGTCACGGTTCACACCCTTGTGAGGTATTGTCCGTTCTGACCCTCACGGTTCACACCTTTGTGAGGTATTGTCCGCTCTGACCCCTTTGATCTCACGGTTTTGTCTTATAAAAGGTGTCTCACAAGACAGGCGTCTTACAAGACAGAGGTGGTGTGAATCTTTTTATATCCCAGTGACTTTCTTATTATGTTCGATGTGGGATTCAGGACTCCTCTTTAGGTTCGTGACATTCTCTCCCATCCAACCTCGTGACGCCCCCGTCACGGAGACTGACCACTTACTTCACTCGAGGTTGGTTCTAATACCAACTGTCATGGGTCGAGACTTAAGCTTCGATTTTCGTGGCTCCGGGACCCGAGCATTCACCTTTCCGGCGTCTCAGATCAGCCTGACCGTCACGGTTCACATCTTTGTGAGGTATTATTTACTCTGACTCCGTCTGACTTCAGAGTTTTGTCTCACAAAAAGCGTCTTACAAGGCAGAGGTGGTGTGAATCCTTTTATGCTCCAGTGACCTTCCTGTTATATTCGATGTGGGATTTACGACTCTTGTTTAAGTCCTTGACACTGTAACTTGAACCTCTTTTAAGAATAGAAATTTATTTTGATTAAATCTGATAATTTTAAATATGATATAGTGATACAATATGATACAAAAATGATATAAAACAAGATTACAAAAGTGATGCAATTTAAATTTTAGTCAAAATTGTATGTGAATTTGATAAAAATTAAAAAAATTCGCTTTGTGTTTAACATATTGACAATAATTATGACACGATAAAAAATTATATTTTATATATATTAAATAAAATATATAAATACGAATACATAAATTATCAAATTTATTTTATCACTCTTGTATGTCAGTTACAAAAACAACTGACGAACTCTGAAGAAACATAATCAAAAGCAGCATAGGCAACATGAAGCAGAGGAGCACGGCCGCCGATTCCATGATCCATGCAATCTTAGAATTACCCAAAATCCAACAGTTCAGATGGTGATTTCATTTCATTCAGCAAGACCTGTGGATTGTTTGTATATAGTGTACATAACTGTGTCGAGCAAATTATTTGATTCAAACCTAGTAAATATTTAAAACAAGTCATTTTGATAAGTAGTTTTATTGAATGACTTCTAATCCAACAATTAAAGCTGAAAGGAGCTTTTATTGAACTACCATACCTTGTGATAACCAGCAACCACAACAAATGGAACAGCATGTCTTTTCGCAGCAAAGGCAACGATATTCAACCCAACAGGTCCTATGACCCCACCATTTCCTCACAGCATAGAACTCCAATATAATTTGAAGCAGGGGAAATCATAATAATACAGCATTTTCCTCTTTTTTTTTTAGATCTATATATGCTAGATAATCTAAACTAAGATGTACAAAATGACATGTCTCAAATTACATACAACAATTCACACATGGAAAAGGCTAACAGTAACAAATTTGTGCAGATAAAGCTGTTCATCTAAAGGGTTCAACCGGTGCAGATTCTTCAAGAAGAGCAGCAGCCTCAAAGCATTCTGCAGCCTCAAGGGGTGATGCACTAATATCAGCCTTGTAGAGCAACCCCAGATTGTACCAGGCAGCCGGGTTTGTTCTGTCGAGTCGAAGTGCATCGGTCAGAAAACTTCTCACTATAGGCATTGATTGGCCACCAAGCTGTCTGAGGATGCAAGCCGTAGATATCAAGCTTGGAACATGTGTGGGTTCAACATCTAATGCCTTCCTGTATGATCTCAGAGCTTCCTGGTGCAACCCCTTAGCTTCGTTGAGTAAACCTAACAAAATCACCACCAAGCTTTAGTTCACGAGTTCACTCACCTATAAGACTACCAATCCCAAATACTAATAAACACAAACAAGTCATTCGGAATACATAACCGAAAATGAGTTCAACAGAGAATAATTAAAGAAAACCAAAGTTCATATTAGAAGATCAATAGATAAGAATTAAAAACAATTCCATGCAATAAAAGTTTAAACCAAAGTACTTTCTTGGTGCTAAATGACCAAGTGCATAATGAAAAAGTTTCAAGAAATCATTTTCACAGCTATGAGAAATGATCTATAAGCTACAGTCAACATATGTTCTATGGTCAAGTAAAGACAGAGCAAGGGAACTAAAGAAGCAAGAAATTTAATAACTGAGACTCTAGCTTTGCAAGTACAAATGATTAGTATGACAAGTTAAGAACAAACTGCCAGCTATGTTTGTGTAATACACATTACTAATCAAAATATCAAGAATAATTTATGAACAACAGCTGAATGAAGCATGTGTATACCTGTAGAGTACCATCTAGAAGCAGAAAATGGACTGATAGCCTTGGATTTTGACAGACAGACCTCCGCATCCCGCCACTCTGACAAGCTCGTGTACACATTGGCTAGATCATGCCATGTTTCCATTTCCAAGCTTCTGTCCCACTTTCCCTTATTCTGTGAGGAATAAAAAGACTAATTTAGCCAAGAATACCTTGGTTCATACTGCATTCCATTCAACACATACGAAACTCTATGCAGATTTTAAGTGGCTCGGGATAGCATGCAATCTCACTCTCAAGTTGAAAACAAGCATAAAGTTTCAAATTTTTTACTCTATTTAGTCTAATGCTTTGAATGGCTCTCAAGTTCAGGAGGATCTATGCACAGTGAGCCACTTCTTTGTTTCGCACTGACATGCAGGAATGAAAAAGTAATACATGCTCAATAATCTCTTCCCTAGTTAGATTGGTAATAGTACTATCAACTAGACAGTTAAGGTTATTATGAAAATTGGTGAGAAATTTATATACTTATCTCTAAGTGACGTGTTCCTCCATCAGATAGGAAAGTCAGTTTATTTGATTTTTCAATTCCTTTCATAAAATTGTCAACAAGTTGCAAGTTTATCCCAGTTTGGCAAAATTCAACTTCAAAAGAATAAATTTGATAAAATGGTATGTGCAGCCTACCCTTAGATATTTCTTTCCAGCACTCAAGCTTTTATACTGAACTTGGAGAACAGCAAGAAGATGAGTGTATGTCTCAACCGCATTTTTTAACTGGCCCTGTGCAATCTGGAGTTTAGCTTTGGTTCTCAACAGTTCTCCTTGATCCCATTTCACGGTTTGGTCAAGGGCAGTATTAATTACGGTCTCTGCATCAACAAACCATTTTTGAGCTGACAAAATCCGAGCCAAAAGGAGATATCCTTCAACACTGGACCCTGCTTCAAGTTTCAAAAGCTGCTTTGCATAATAAAATGCAACATCCAACTTTCTCTGCTCAGCATTTTCTAGACAAAGATGGAATACAATGTAAGGATCCCTTTCTCTCATCATCTTTTCTGCGGTTTCCAGCACCTCAATTGTTTCAGACTGCTTCAAAATCCTCTCAGAATCAGAAGAAACCAACCTAGATTGAGCTGACAATAAAACTCCCAGTAAGCAGTTTGCTTTGCTCACCATCTGCCTACATCTGCCATTCAATCCAGCAAGTGCTTTCCGTGCCCAATTGATCCCTTCTTCAATATAACTCATATTCTCCCCACAAATTTTTGAGGCTAGCAATAATTCCAGAATGCAGTCTGGATTGTCTCTGCTATTCAAAAGATTTTGCAAAAGATTCAAAGCAATTATGTCCTCAGCTTCCCCATAATAACAAAGAGCCAAAGTACAATATTTTTCATTTCTTTTCATGATCTCTGGATGCAACTCTTCAACCTGATGAGCTATGGCTCTTAGTTCCCCTGAAACAGATAGAGCAAAAGCAAGATGATCCAAGATTGATGGATCCCAACTAATCCTTTTGAGAACAAATTTTCTCTGCAGAATTAGTAATAAAAGAATAGCCTCTTCTATGTTGTTTCTAGGCACAAAGGAGTCTTCCATCTGCGAACGGAGGTTTGGAGGGCTTGCTTCAGCACCACTGTATAAAAGCAATATAGCAAATTCCTTTTCTAGCTTTGCTTTGGTTCCCGTATCAAGATTCCAGTAATAGAGGAGAGCCCGCCGGTACGACAAGATAGCTTCTTGGGGATCTCCTGCAAGTTTCCATAGCTCTGGAAGCAATTCCACAGCTTTGTTCACAATTTCCTGTAATTTACAATCTGCAGAGAAGTTGTTGGGCAGGCCCTCCGGCAATGCAGATTCAACAGTGTCCAATATAACTTTGCATGATCGAGCAGCTTCTGTAAGAATATCAGGAAAAAAAAATATAAAACGATGACAATGCAGTTGATGATTACCACACTGAACCATCAAAGATGCCAAAATTTTCTGTCTTTCAGTTTCTATTAGGTCACTGAATTAATTAGTATTGCATGAGAGATCTTCCAAAAAAATAAGTAGAAAGAAAATGAAGGGCATACCTCCAAACCTTCCAAGGTGCTGCAATGATTTTGCCTTCAGAAATATAGCTTCAAGAAGTAAGCTAACAGCATGCATAGACATGGCTGGAGCAGCATCACTTTGTGAGCGACGCCAATTTTGTTCAAATCTTCGAGAAAGAGAGGCTTTCATCTTGGAAGTCACCGCAGCAACATCTATTCCGTCAAATACATGAAGTGCAGCTTCTATATTTCCCTTTTGAAACTCAAGCCTTCCTAACAATGCCCTTGCTTCCTATAGATTAAACTATTTGTTAGCTAAATCTAAGCACTGAAAATCAATATAAAATAGGTAACTGTTCTATTGACCGATAATTACCCATTCCTTCCATAAAATTTCCATAAACGTCAAAGATCAAGAGGGTGCAAAAGACAATAAAAAAAACTGCTAAAAGTAAGAAAAGAAAAAAAAAGGGTGAAAGCAAAGAAAGAAAATTTAGATGCTATCAACCTCATAGTTCAAATAACCACTCTCACGAAGAGATGATTCGGCTTCTTCAATATTGCTGTTGTCAACCTTTGTCTCCACCATCTCACTGGCTCTAGACGAGTAACCACTCACTGAATAGTCCCGAGTTGCTAGGGACTCTGAAGAAGCAATAGTGTCATCATCAACTCTTAATTGCTGTCCTGACCAGATGCACATCATCATTTTCTGAAACCTCTCTCGAATACTAAATCGTCGCTTATTTATCCAATCCTTGATTGCCATACTGTTTTGTTACACTTGAAAACCTTCAACAAAAGCATCAAGATAACAAATATGCAAAATCAGGAGCATTCCAAGAACATAAACATCATAAAATGCAAGCATTAGCACCGGTTATATATCTATTATTAGCGGTATTGTCTGTTGGTAAAGCTCTGAACTCTTAGCTCCACTGATCGGATTCAATCCCCAACAATCTCAAATACCAAAAAAACAAGAAAAAACTGTTCAGCAAACTCTGAGCCAGAAATTCTTAATTATCTATCTAAAAGGAAAACAAAATTGACCTTTGTATGCTAAAGAAACAAAGATGAACTCTTGCAAAGAGATCTAAACCACAATTCCAAATCTTTGCAACTTTATAAAAATACTAGAAGCACTGAAGCTCTAAAATTTTGAAGTAAAAAATCATATGTTGAAACAAGAAAAAAAAAAAAAACCCACCAATTTTCCTGCAACCCAGCTTGAGAAAACCACCATAACCATTCAGGTACGGTGCTTAAACAGCCAATTTTCTCATCAAAGATAAGGAGTACAACTAAATAACAAAAACCCAGAAAAATTCAACTCAAACATGATCTTGGAGCAACCCACACCACAAACACACACCCCAAAAAAAAAAACTAAAATACCATAAATTGAAAGCTACAGTAGGAGGTGAAAATAATCACCCATTACATCATCATACAAAGAAAAATAAAAAGACCCAAAGGGATTAAAAATTGGTAAAAAGAAAGTACCTTTTTATAGCCAAAAAGCATTGATCGAGCCCACCAGACACCTACACCACTGTGCATCTCCACAATTCACCCAAACAAAAAAAAGGGTCCTTAATTTTTCGCTTGAAAAGCAAGAATCCAAAGCAAAGTCTTGATTGTTATGTTATTTTTTTTTTTAGTTTTGATGTTACATGTAGAGAAACCATGAGTGCATTGAATTATGAAATTTAACACTGTACCAGCTTTTCCTAACTTACAGATGTGAACAAAACGATCTCTTTATTGTTGAGAGTAATAATAAATGTACCATTCAAGTTTTTTTTTTTAAAATAAAATATAGAAAAATCAGTTTCTTGAAAGAGGGAATGCCCCCTGGTCCAGTTTGAAATCTTCTCCCCACCTTGATCAGCTTCTGGCTCCATGGTCCATACAGATACTCTCTGTCTCTCCCCCTTTCCAGCTCACTGACACTTTGTTTCCCATTTTAAATAGAAATAAACCATGAATTTATGGGAACTGTGTTTCGATTTAACTAAAAATGGTATCCACCATTTTTCTTTGATAAGAGAAAGTTTTAACTTATTTGATGGGAAAAAAAAAAGTTCAAGGATCGGATACTTGTGTTTTCTGTTTTGCTATTTGCTGAGAACAAAACAAAGCGTCTTTAAAAACATTATTACCAAAAGTGTGATTGGATGCTGTTCTGTTACTTTGATTTCAATTCAATCCAAACCATTTCTTTTGCAGAAGATGTACTGCAAGACAAAAGTCAAATCTAGTGGTAGCATTTTTTATTTTATTTTTTTTGTAGTTTTCTCAAAGTGGAAACGTGTTTCCAGGACATGATATGGTAAGCTCCAACCTGTCCGATCATTCTCTTCCTTCAACATGGAGTTCCGCGTTAAACTTATGAAATATTATTTTTTATTCAAAAGTTTTATAATTTTATTTTATAAATTTAAATTTTTATTTATATATTATATTACATTTTCAAAATCTTAAAATACAAGATTGAAGTATCATGATCAAAATTCAAAAGTGATCCAAAAGTCCCACCACCGCAAGCTTCTTTTACCTTGTAAGAGAGTTACCAGTTTAGAATAATATATATAAATATTAATAAAATTAATATTTGATATATTATTAATATATAAATTTTATATATAATTAATAAATTAAATAATATTATTTCATTATTGAAAAAAATTAAAAAAATCAAATTTATCTGTATTCATTTTAAAAACTTGTAACAATTTAAATTTATTAAATAGTGAGATAATATTATTTGATTTATTAATAATATATAGATTTTATATATTAATAATATATCAGATATAAATTTATATTAATATTTAAAATTTAAATTTATAAAATATATTATCTCTTAAAAATAATGTATAAATTAATTAAATTAAACTTTAAATAACCTAAATTTCTTTTTGACAAAATTATTATTATTATTATTATTTACTTTCCCCTTCAACTCAAACCCCACCGGGAAAAAAAATGACATATAAACCCCATATTGCTTGATAAAACCTGGTTTTTATTTATTTATTTATTTATGTTATTAAACAGAATTATATATAGAATGGAGAAAATCATTTACTAATATGCAAAAGTGGTTCATATGAGCAAGGATGGAATCAAGATTTTCAATTTAGGGATGAAAGTTTTATAGAGCATTAAAGCTTAAATTTTACATAAAATACATAAAATAATCTAATGCAATGAGTATAAATTAAAGAAAAATAATAACATTAATTTCATTAACAGATGATATATTAAGCTGACTAATCAGAAATGCTTTGCACTATATATAGAGTGGAAAATTAAAGAAAAGCAAAAAGGGATATAAAAGAAGGGTAGGGTAACATTGGATTTGGTAATTAAGGGTTTATTTAACTTACTAATTTTATTTCTAAAATTAATATTTTGTTTCAACAAAATCGTTCACATGATGATGGTAATAGGAAGATGGTTGACGGTATTAATGTATTAAATATGCTCTAATAACTAGGGATTTTAATAAGAGCAATTCAATCCATGCATGCATGCATGCATGCATCGTGAAGCTTGTAGTTTTAGTGGTGTCCAATTCCGCCACCTCCTCCGCCTCCAAAACCTCCGCCACCCCCAAATCCACCACCTCCACCTGCTCCTCCCCCAAAACCACCGCCACTTCCGGCACCACCTCCAAATCCTCCACCTGAACCACCTCCAGCGCCACCTCCAAATCCACCACCTCCACCAAAACCACCTCCACCTCCACCTCCAGCACCACCTCCATATCCCCCACCTGCACCGCCTCCAAATCCACCACCTTTTCCAATCCCACCTCCAATGCCACCACCTTTACCAAAACCGCCTTCGCCACCAATGCCACCACCATTACCAATTCCTCCACCAAGTCCTCCACCTTTTCCAGTTCCTCCACCCAATCCACCACCTTTTCCTATTCCTCCACCAAGTCCACCACCCTCTCCAATTCCACCTCCAATGCCTCCGCCACCAATGCCACCACCATTACCAATTCCTCCACCAAGTCCTCCACCTTTTCCAGTTCCTCCACCCAATCCACCACCTTTTCCTATTCCTCCACCAAGTCCACCACCCTTTCCAATTCCACCGCCAATGCCTCCGCCTTTGCCAATCCCACCTCCTTTACTGATGCCACCTCCGGATCCACCACCAATACCTCCTCCTTTGCCAATCCCACCACCCTTTCCAATGCCACCTTCATATCCACCACCTTTTCCAATTCCACCACCAAGGCCTCCACCCTTGCCAATTCCTCCTCCAAGTCCACCACCCTTTCCAATGCCACCACCAAGTCCACCACCTTTTCCTATTCCACCACCAACGCCTCCACCCTTACCAATCCCACCACCAAAACCACCTCCTTTCCCAACTCCACCGGCACCACCACCGCCTCCACCACCAAACCCGCCACCACCACCAGCTCCTCCACCAACTCCTCCTCCGGCACCAGCACCAGCACCAAAACCGCCTCCAACACCTCCTCCAGCTCCACCTCCAGCTCCAGCTCCACCTCCAAAACCACCCCCACCTCCGGCACCGAAGCCACCTCCCTTCGTTAGTGACTTCTCATCCTCGTTATTTTTCACTACATTTCTTGCAACCACATTCACTACAAGCACATTAAAGCAAAGCAAAGATAACAAGACCACTCCTTTGGTAAAGGTTACCATTTTGTTCAAGTTTAGCTTCGTTCATGATAGCTTTAAAATCACAAGTACTGCTTTTATAAGCCAATTGGATTGCATTAAATTACCTCTAACAACTAACCGTTCGCCACATTTAATACCCAAATAATAATCTTATTTACTATTACCATGTATCCAACATGCCTTTTTTTGGTAAGTTGTTTTGATTTATCTCTTCTCTGAGAGACTGACACCAAATTGGCAGCCAGCTCACATGGTTAGGTTTTTAATTTTTATCATGCTCATCTGAGATCAACCCTCGTTCTGCTTACATAAACTAGTATAAAACCAGATTAGTTTCAACGATATTAAATTTACTACAATAGTTTTATTGTATATCACACCATACATGATTTTTTTTAATATTTCATTTCGTTTTGACTCAACGAATTTTTTTAAATGTTTCAAATTCATCCATTTTTGTCTACCATTTTAAGGGTTGAAATTTATGTCACATGTATATTCATATATACATATATATATATATATGATACTGATGTAACATGTTCCATTGAATTTTTAATAGTGATATATGAAATGAATGAATTTTAAAATTTTTAAAATAAAAATTTAAATTTAAAAATTATGAATAAAAATAAAATATTGCATAAAAGTCATTGGTACATTTTACTCTACATAAGCAAGTAAAGTTTGATAATATTTCTTCTATTACGAGAGTAGCCCAAGATTCAACGAATTCCTTTGTTTATAAGGTAAAAATTAAGGGAAACTTGAACACCTCGAAATCTGACTTTTGGTGTTACTAACTGTCAAGGACAAGTCGAACCAATTCCTTTATGCATAGGTCAGTAAATGAGAAATGATAAAGAGTTTTGGAGATATAATTGTCAAAATAGTCACAATATTTTTTAGGTATAATTCTTTTTGTATAAAAGAACAGGTGTTAGAATTTGAATCTCAATTTATTGAATGCTACATTTTAAAAATGGTTACAGAACCTACTAAGATAAATTTCAGGTTCAAAACATATAAAATCTTTACTCATAAAATTTGTATTATTTATATATATTATCATCATTTTTATTTTCCATTTTTAGATTTCGGGGAATTTACCATAAACTTTGTAGATTTCCATTTCATATATACATATTGATATATTTTGAGGACCACAACCAGATTTACTGCTATTCCTTCTTGCTGAACATCAATGAAGAAAAAAGAGGAAGAATTGCAGTCCTTTGACTAAATGACATGCATGTATGTATCATATCTGTCCATGCCTTACCTGGACTGTAAAACCAAAACGTTGGATATTCATGGAGAATTTTTTTTTTTAATAATTTAAAGACCCAAAATTTAATCAAAATGAGAAATTTAGTTTCAATCATCATCTTTTTTAGGTATATATATCACAAGATATTCATGCTCATAAGAAAGTCTCGGCTGCATCTATAGCCTCTATATATGTTTATCGTACAACTAGCTAGCCGATGGAGAATCGACCTCTGTTTCAAGCTGTCCACAGGCAACAATTAGTCACATTATATATATGAAACAGATCACCTTTTAATCAAAACCAGAAATATTATACAGAAATCGCCCAACAGTAAGGTATGGTGGAAGTTTATTCCATGCTGATCAACAGACACTTAGCTGTCGATGTTATTAGCCATACACAAAAAAAAAAATAAATAAATAAAAACCAAAACCACATTTTCACCCTCTTTGTAAAAACATTTAGGAGATAGCATCAATTAGTATCTATATTGTTTAGACTTCTCATTTTTTTTTTGAAATACTCGTGTTTAATATTTTACATATCTAATGAACATGAAGGTTCGACTTCCAAATATATATGAGTTTTTTTTTTTTTTTTTTTTTGCAAAAATTAAACTTACTCATGCATAAATAGATCATAAAATCACTTCCCGAGTCCGCAAAAAACCTAAACTAGTACTGTAGCCTTATAAGATTAATTTTCTGGTCTATATCTCCAACGGCAAATGCATGCAGTATATGCACACGGGGTCCAACCTCAACCAACCCTTTGAAAATGAAGATGTGAAAATCAGGGTACCGATTTTAATTTTCAAAAAAGATTGAGCAACCAAAAGTACTTGGCTGTTGAATGCATGCACCGTATCCATGTGCTTGGTAGATAGAGAATTTATTGCATGCCAAAAGGGAGGAAAAGAAGGTTTCTTGCTTAATTTCTTTGTTATGGCATTTATAAGCTTCTTAAGAGGAAAAGATTTGTAGCTAAAGGATCAATAGCTTAAGCTGAAAGTTTCTTAATTTTCATGTAAATCCAAACATGTTCTCTCTTTGGGATATTTGATATTTCCCAATTAATTGTGATTTGTGTCCAATGGCTATCACCGACACTTGAAAGCAATGGTTTATCAAAAGAACTGGCGGATCAACTCAACCATTTACTAATAAGCTAATGATATTTGCAATATTGTCTCGTTTGTCTCAATTAATTGTCTCATTATATAAGGTTATGAGTGAAATGTAAATGATAGACTGACAAATTGTCTCATGAATTATTAAGGGAAAATATGACCAAGACATTAGATATTCAAAATTAAGGGAAAATGAAAGTGGAAAATTGAAGTGAAATTTTCTTATTAATTTGAATTTAAGACTTAATTCAATTGATTCATACAATTAATCTCAATATCTATAATCTTTTTTCATATCTTTGAATTTCAGCCCCAGTAAAAAAAATTCTTATTAATTAGCCCATGAAATCAAGAATATTATATATGCTACCAAGTATCATTTAGCTTTAGAAATAATTCAAGTTCTAGAATCAAGTTGTCTGGAATTTGAAGTACTTTTTTTCTCTCTTCAAATATATTGTAACTATTGTTATATGCCTCTACATGTCCATATGCATTATCGATCAGAACATTGCAAAATTCAATTAATTTGCGTAAAAAAATACTTATTCAAAATGACAGCTAAAAATGGATTGTTATCAATTTGCCTATGCCCCAACTTGGCCACAAGCCCATGCCCCAAAATCCAAAGTCGTCTCCCTTGCGTCGGTGCTTGACTTAGATTGATGGTTATGCTTATCAAACTTCATTGGCACAATTTGTTTTGGTCTATTGGGAGTTATTGTCTGATTGCTGGTGGTCATCATTAAGGCATCTTTTTAATGAAAGAGACTTGAATCTATTATAACGGTTAGGGGATTTTAGACAAAAATTTTAAAAATTTTAAAATAGAGGAATTGCCACTTATTTTTTTAGTTAAGTGTGATTGATTATCTAAAAAAACTTATCTATTTAATACAATTTTAAAATTAATTAAAACTTATTAAAAAATTTTTTTTTTATCTACGAAAAATAAAATTGAGTTTGGAAGTATAACCAGCATAAGAAAATAATAGCACCTTTAAAACATCCGTTTTAAAAACTATTCAAACTATTCATGTGTTATCCTTTTGCTTTGATAAAAATGACCTTAATTCTAATATTTAAAATAATTCCCTTAATATTTATTTTTTTGTAAATTTTTTTTAAAACCTTTTATTTAGGAATAAATGAAAATCTTTAGTTTAGAAATATATTTTTCGAATTCTTTAATATTTAGGCGGAATTTAGAAAAACATTCTTTCACTTGAAACTCTCGCAATAACCTTTAATATTTGATATAATACTCATTTATAAAGAATAATTATTGAGAATCCTTCCAATATGTAGGCAAAATTCCAAAAATTACTTTTACTTAAGAATATTTTTTATTTCTAAAAAATATTTTCAAAATTTTTATTTTATCAATTCACATTTATTGCCTACTATGATGCATGTAATGTCATATGTGAAATAAATGACACCAATAAAAATAAAAGAATGCAAATAACCAATTTTATTTCATTCTTTTCAAATCTTTCATTTTTATATTTCTTATCATTATTTCTTTGATAAAAAAGTTTAGTAATAAAAAATTTCCTTAATTCTCCAATATTTAAGTGAAATTTAGAAAAATTGATCATTTATTTCAAAAAATTCTCACAATAAAATTTCAAAAGAAAGAAGATAAAAAAGTAATTATTTGAATTACCTCCAATATTTAGGTAGGGCTTCCAAAATTACTTTTACAAAGAGATATTATCTTATTTTATTTCCAAAACTCTCTTTTAAAGGTTATTTTGAAATTACAAAATTATTTTAATTTATTTTTTATTTAAAAATTTATATATTTTTTTATCAACAACTTCATTCATCTGCAAATAAATTTCATCTATAAATAATTTTATTTCCAAAGGTGCTTAATCTTAAATAAACATAAAAACAAATAAAATAAATGGTGGGAAGAAAATATACCCAATTTGTACCATAAATCCACAAGTCACATGCCTTGAAAGTCCAAATCAATTTGAAGCACAAATTCACATCCAAATTTTAGTGTTAAAATCTAAATCCATAAGTCACATACCTAAATGTATTACACGAGAGAAAACCCATACAAATTGGGCCTATCCAGGATTATAGGCTAACAAGGGTCAAGCTTGTTGGGTCATAGGTCGGGTTGACTCTGATTAGGTCAAACTGACCTATTTTTTTTCTTTTCTTTTTCTTTCTTCTTCTTTTCACTTTTTCTTTCTAATAGAGAACCTTTTTCTCTATACCAGTCATCGGCCGCCATTTCAATAAATGGTCGGCGTCTTTTTCTTTTCAAATTTTCACCAAATGTCCTCTTCAACACTCTTGCCACAAGTCTAAACTCAAATTTTCTTAAAATTGCCTATAATATCGTAGATTTAAGACTTTAGCCTAAAACTTCAAACCATTAAAAATCTTTCTTCTACTATTTAATCTTTCTAATATCGAAGTATGTCTTTCTCCTCCCTTTACTGCCCCTTTTCACAGTTCGAATGCCTAAAACTCTCCTTTGATAATGTAGACAACCTTACATCATTACTACTTGTGCCATTGTTTACAGCCCAAAAAGCCTTTTTCTCTCTCTTATTTTATATACTAAAATGAGACCACTTAAAAACCTATGAAGACTAACTAAAACCAAACTTCCTTTCATTTTGTGATTTTTGCTTTTTTTTTTTTGTTTTGCTTTTGTACTATCATTATTCATTCTAAGGGATATATTTGATTTTTTAAAATTTTTTTGTGCTATAAGTTT